GCCCCGCCTGCCTCGCGCCCATGAGTGTCGGGCTGCAAATAGCAGAGCCTAGCCGGAATCAGTGAGTCACGAAGGCCTGAAATACTGCGCCCCTGCGCCCCCTCCCTCGCCTCCCCTCCTCCTGACCACAGACCACAGCCCGCCTGAGCTGCATAGGTCAGCGCGCCTGGGGGGGGCCTGTGCTGCGGGGTGGGGGTCCCTCTAGAGAGCGCCCAGGCTCCTGAACCAGTCGGCACCCCTCCTCCCCCCTCCCAGATTCCTGTGGCTCTGCCGGTGGGGCTGTGTGACCCTGGGTGGGCCTCTCTGGGCCTCAGAGCCCCCATCCGGTACAAGAAGGGCTTCAAGAAGGCAGGCGACCTGGTACAGCCTGCCCACCTTTGTGTCCCTGCGCCCGGGACAGGGCCTGGCACAGTGCCTGGCACCTAGCAACGGGACGATAAATCTCTCTTGAGGGAAAAAATAAATAACAAGAGGAGGGACAGGTAGTTGGGAGAGAGGGTGCTGTGGGCGTCTGGAAAGAACCCTGGGGCTCCTGCCCCGGGGACCTGGGGACCCCACATTTCCGCGAGGGCTTAAGCTTTCATGTGAGCTGCCACCCCAACCCCAACTCTCAAAGAAGGCATGTCTGTCTGCGCATTCTGGGGAACCTCAGGCGGGTCGTCTGCAGTTGATTGGGTGCAGGGGTTCCAGTGGCAGGGCTGTCCCTAGGCCCCGCCTCTCCTGGTCTCCCCCAAGGGCCCTGGAATGTGAGCGAGAGGCCACACTATAGCACACTGGCCAGAGAGGTGCAGGGGTCAGAGGCTGGGCCCTCCGCTGCCCTGGGGACCCCTCGCCCTCACCCCTGCTTCTGCATGCGGGAGGCTGAGCCAGTCACGGGGGCAGGGTGTGTTCCCCAGGGTTGAGGTTGAAGTCCTTGCCTGGATTTCAGAGCAGGCGGGACCTGGGTGGGGGGGCTAGTCCTATGACTCCTCCCACCCCGAGAGGGCACTCCTCAGTGTCCAGAGACACTGGGAGTTGAGAGCAGCTGTTGACACCCTGGGTTCAGATCCCCCTTCCGTGACAAAGCCGGCACTCCATGGCTCAGGGACTCAGTTTCCCCATCAACGAAAGTGGGATTGCAGGTCTGATCTTATAATGCTCTGAATTTGGCCTCAACCAGTGGTAGTGCTGAGTGTCTGAAGGACAGTGATGGGTGTGTGTGTGTGAGAGAGAGAGATAGAGAGAGAGAGAGATTCATAGATTAAGCAGGGCGGAGGATGGGGAGGTGACTGCCCAAGACAGGAGGGCTGCTAGAAGCTGGGGTCCAACCTTGAGGGCCTAAAGCCACACCCATGCTCACTTTCCCCTCCGCTGGCTGATCCTGTCTGCAGTGGGGGCAGCCTCCAGGGCCCCACCTATGAGTGGGAGGGAGAAGCAGCCGCCTCACCCTGGCCCGAGGCCCCAACAGGTCCCGACAACAGGAGGTGCACACGGTTTATCATGAACCAGCTGTATTGGAAAAACCCCATGTACACACAGAGGTGGCGAGGCCCTGCCCTGGCACAGCCGGCTGGCTGGAGGTACCCTGCGGCCTGCCCGCCGGCGGTTTGGGGCACAGAGGCAGGGAGGTTTACAGTCTTGGCTGTCTCCTCCTGGCTTCCCTGAGCCCTGGGGCAGTTCCACTTAGCGAGGCACCTCCACCTATGACCTTCCCTCTGCTCCCCTTGGGCAAGGGGGTCCCAGGTCCCTGATTTCCCCCGCCCCTGCCCTGCAGAGACTCCACAGATCAAAGGATTTGTCTGTCTGTCCTGCAGATCATTTGCCCAGATGCCCTGCCTGTCTTCCTCCCCTTCCCCCACCCCAGCCCCTCTACTCTGGATTAAGTGAGGGGGCCATATCTGAAAAGTGGGCACTACAGGTGAGGTCAGAGGGTCCCCGGCCTGCCCTGAGCAAAATGGAGGGCCCTGGTTGGGGGATGACCCACCTGGGGTCCGGAGGCATCGGGGCTGGAACCTGGGCTTTTGGGGACTGTCGTGAAGGGTTTCAGGAAGGCTTTGCTGACAAGCCCGTGGGGGAGGGGAGCAGGGGGAGGGACAGGCCCTCAGATTTTTATCTCTGTCCGGAAGGTCTGCTGGACGTGCTCTGTGTGCGGGTGACGCCGTGCCCGGATGGTGAGGCTGCCATCCTCCCGCAGGGCTGAGGTCACCGAGGTCGGGTCCACATCTTCCGGCAGCTGGCACTTGTGAGCGAAGGTGTTCATGACGGTGCCATCGGCTGCCAGCTGGGGAAAGGGCGATAGGTCAAGGCAGGCCACAGTCCCCCTCTGCCCCTCGTAACCCAGCCGGGCCCACATGCAGAGATGCTGTGCTCTCAGGTGCAGAGGGGCCGGCCAGGGTGGTGATGGCCACAGGCCAAGGTCTGGGCAGCAATGGGTTCAGCGGGCTTCTTGGAGCTTTAGGAGTTCCCAGGGGCACTTGAGGGGTGTGGGCTCAGAGAGGGGAGGCTCTGTGGCAGTGGCTCCGAGGCTGGGGCTCACCGTGCGGTTCAGGAGATGACACAGAGGAGAGCCATGCCCTCCGGGATCCCCAGACACATGGGCGTCCACCTGCCAGCCAAGCCCCTGGCCCCTCCCCCACAGCTCAGCCGGCACATAGTGTCCAGAGGAGTTTGGGGCGGCTGAGTCATCGTCGGGGATGACAGGGCCAGCACGTGCTGCCCGCTGGTCCCAGTGCCCACGTCTTTGGCGCTCCCGGCAAGGGCCCCCAGGAGTCCACCCTCGCGGGCTCAGGGGAAGAAGCCGGCCCTCCAGGAGCAGGAGGAGGCTTCGGCAGTGCTCTCCTTCCCGGCAGCATCCCTGTTCAAGCCTGGCCACACCTTCTCCGGTGGAGGTCCCAGTGCCTCCTGGAAGCTCAGACTCAGAGACCTAGGGACCCAGTGACCTTAGACCCGTGGGTGGAGGGAGTGTGACCCTGAACTTCAGGGCCCCTGCCCAGTCTTGGACCTCATTCAGGTGTCCCAGGTCGAGGGCTGGGCCTCTGGCTCTGGCACGGAGAGGGCTTGGGGTGTGTCCCGTGGGGAAGCCCCTCCCCCCACTGCCCAGGTAAGCGCCCTCTCTCACCCCTCCCCCACTGGTTGCCAGAGGAGCTGTGCTCACTTGCCATCACCACCTCCCTCCTGCCATCTCCCACCCTCGGGCCCACCCCTCAGGCCTCCCTCTGCTCACCTCCCTCCCTCCCTCCCTCTCCCATTTCCCAGTGACCCCTTCAGGGCCCTGGGCCCCAGGAAAGAGACTCTGAAAGCCTTGGGGCAAAGAGGGTAGAGGGGTCCCCTGGCCCATGAGCTGCCGAAGGGGGCAGAGTCTTCCGTGTCCCTGGGGGAACTGGGGAGGGGAAAAGACCCTTGCTGGGGTCTGGGGGTCCCAGGAGGCGAGGTGAGAGAGGGACACCGAAGGCTGGAGCAGAAGTAGGGGTCCAGGCAGGGGAGGGGGGCCGGGGGCAGGAAGGGATCTCACCTTCTCGGCGCGCACCTCAATCTGGTTGTTGGAGGTGGTGACGATGATATCTTCCGGGGAGAAGTCTCTCACGTCCACCGCAAACTCATAGGCATCTCCGAGGGTCTTGATGTTGCCCGGCCCCCCAGGACGGGCTGTGGGGAGGGCTACTGTCAGCGGGGGCCAGGGCAGGGCTTGCATGCCCGGGACCTGGGCGTCTGGCTCCTTCTCACGGGGCAAGGGGCAGCGGCTCCCCCAGGCCGGACCTCCCCGCCCGCCGCTGCCCCTAGGCCCTGTGGTGGGGCTGGGTCTCCCCGACATGGGTGCAATGTGTGTATGTGACACCCAGCCTATAGCAACCCCACCTCGGGCCTGGAGGCTGGAGGCTGCCGCCTAACCCTCACCCCATCCAGCCCTCTAGGACTCCAGCCAGGAGCCAGCCGCAGTCCCTGGCCCTGGGTGGCCGTTGGAGCCATATCTGACCCCCAGGACCACAGCTGTCCATGAGGGGCCCGTTTGTTGTCATGGCCACATCGGTTCCTGCGGCCACGTCTGTCTTGGCCTCCCCACGTGGAGGCAGGCTGAGCAGCACCTGTTCCTGGAAGATCGGCAGCCACCGCGCGTGCGTGCAGTGGCGTCCTGGAGCGGATGTCACCTCCCTCCCCTCAGAGCCCACAGCACTTGCCTGGGAAGGCCAGGGGCTCTGAGTGGGGCCGCATGAAGTTGCCGAAATCCTCCGAGAACATGCTCAAGGCCTTCTCCATGGGTGGGTCCTGGGCTGGGAGGGCGCAGGAGGCCGAGGAGGAGGTGGACGAGGAGGAGGAAGAGGAGGAGTGGAAGCTTCTCTCCGCTCGGAAGGTGGAGGAGGTTCTGTGGCTCATTCACAGGCAGGCGCCGGGCCCTGTCCAGGCGGGCAGGGGCTGGACAGGACAGGGTGTGGGCACAGGCCTTAGGGGAGCGTGCTGGGCCCCGACTGCCGGCGCTTTATAAGGCCCGACCGTACCCGGGCTCGAGGCCAGCCCCTTGTCTACTGGCTAAATTTAGGCCTCTCCGTGGCCCGGAGGGGGCTGGAAATCTTCTCCCGTGAGCCGGCCCTGCTGACAGCCCAACACACGCAGGCCGGGAGGGCTGAGCTCACAGCCTGGCATTCCGGGCTGATCACCGCAGCCCCAGGGGCCTCCGCTCCACCGGTCAGGGGGCTGGATTCTGACCCCTTGGCACTCAGAACCCATGCCCGCCCCAGGATCGTGTGGGTTTGGTGTTTCTTGTGTGTTCTGTCTCCCCCGTCAGCCCGGGGGCTCTCTAAGAACTGTGTCTCCCCTTCAGACTCTGGTTTTCTCCAAGGGCTGTGCCTCCCCCATCAGACCGCAGACTCCTTGGGGACAAGGGTGGGTGGGCCTCCCTGCTCTACCCTGGCCTGCTGTGTGTCCTGAGGGCCTCCTTCCCTCAAGGAAGGTAATGTTTACAGCCCATCTCTAAGGAAAGGGCGAGACAGCCCAGTGGGGGCGGTGGTTAGAATGTGCAGCTGTCCTCCTGCCAGCTTCCACGGGGACCTGCACTCACCTCCACCCCAATTTTTGGAACACTCAGGGGCCCCAGGAGGAGAGAGCTGGCAGCTTGAGGTAGGGCTGGGGGTGGGGCCCAGACTCGGGGAGGGGGCAGATAATCGAATAACTGTCCTGAAAGGTCTAGAAGGTCGGGCTCCTATCTACTGTCGGCTTCACTGAGTGGGATGTCAGGCAGAGGTGAAGGAGAATCTGGAAGACTAATCTAGCCCTGACCTCTGGAGTGCTGAGGGCACGGGCTCCTGGCCGAGAGCTGTCCATCGTGGCCTCAGTTGATCACCACCCAGCCAGGAAGGAGGAGGCATTCTTCCCATTTCACAGACAGGGAAGTGGAGCCTCACGAATGTAAGTGACAGAGCTGGGATTTGAACCCAGATGTGTCGGATCCGAAGCTCTTCAGAGACTGGGATGACTTGAACAAAATCTTATGGAGGCGGGCTGACTCAGAAGACCCGAGAAGCTTCTCCTTGTCCACCGGCTGCTCAGCAAAGCCGAGACCGACATCACGCTGGATCAGGGTGGGAGCCGGGGAACGCCACTCTGGGAGAGAGTCCAGCCCGCTGGGCAGCCCTGCTTGCATTATGGGGCATCTGCTGTCCTCTCCAAATTCTGCCCTTCCTTCCCAGATCAGCTCCAGTCCTCTTCTCCAACGGAGGCCTCCCTGATTACTCCCGCCCACACAACCCCCTGTCCCCATCCAGACGCCCACACCACTGACCGTCTTTGCCCACTCCTAGCACCTGGTGGTGTGACATGGTCTTCCTGTGACTTTCTGCTGTATCCCTTCTCCCCTAGCCAGCTGGCAGCTGCCCCAGGGCAAGGGTTTGTCTGTCTCCCCATTAGACTGGGGAAGCCTGAAGGCAGGGACTGTTCCTTTCATCGGACTCCCACAGAACCCAGGCTGGAGCCTCATCCTGGGAGACCCCGTCTACACGGGCATTAGTAGTGCTGGTGGGGGCCAGGGTGGTGCCTAGAGCAAGAGGGTCTATCACTCCTGGTGGAGATTCTTACCCGTGTCGGCGCCCCTGTCACCCCAGCCTGTTGAGGGGATTCTGGGGCTGCCGGGAAGTCACTAGCGCCGAGGTGAGATGGAGACAGGGTGGGGCGCGGTGGGGGCCCTGAGCCTGCCACCCGCCGCGGAAACAGGAGCCAGTGGCTAAATGCAGACACACTGTCATGGTGCTGACGGCCTGAGTCACTGCCCCTGGATGTCACATCCCGTTACCCACCCCCGCCCACCCTCCTCCCCCCGATTCCTGAGACATCACCCACACAAATACTGCATCCTCGGGCTCCAGTGGCCCGGAGGGACCTCAAAATGTCACCAAGGCCATTCCCCTGTCTCTGGGCATGCCTCTCCCTTCCCATAACAGGGACAGAAGGAGCTTCAAAGATGATCCAATCCCTTGAATCCCCATCAGCCGGAGGAGATTTTAATAAACACAGACTCAGCCGGGCTTGGTGGCTCAGCCTGTAATCCCGCGCCTGTGGGAGGCTGAGGCGAGTGGATTGCCTGAGCCCGCGGGTTCGAGACCCACCTGGGCATGGAGACCTCATCTCTACAATAAATCAAAAAATCAGCCGGGCATGGTAGCGCATGCCTGTAATTC